CTCTCTCTCTCTCTCTCACTCTCTCTCTCAGAGAGCAGAGAATCGCCCGATCCACCGTTGGATTCTGTTCTCTGTCGTTCCTACGTAGAAGCCTCGAAGGCATAGCGGGGGCAATGTCAAGGTGGTATAAGGCCTGGTGCATCCCTGACGGCCGGTCATTCCACGCGGAGAAATTCTATCGAAGAAAGTCACTGGGAGGCGACGATCCTCGGAAGGGAATAACATGAAGAGTATCTCGTTTGTGCTCGCGTGTTCGTTGGTGTTCGGCGTGCAGGCGATCGGAAGATACAGGGGATTAGAGTTTTTGGAACCTTGCTCCAGAAGCGATTACAACGTGGAGAGTTGCCTTGCTAGATCGGCCAATGTACTCACCGATCGCTTCCGTCACGGTAAGATGTTGTTCGCCTTTGTTGTTAAAGATTATATAGTTAATATATATATAATTTGCATTTGTCGATTATAAAGGAGAAGGTGGATAACCTTGTCGTTTAATCTTGTGATTTAATTTTCGTTGTAGATTTTTATTCTTTTATTTATTTATTCATTTTATGAATTTATCGTATCGTAGTGTAGTAAAACGTTGATAGACGCTAGTATTCTTTTCATTTTCTTCTTTTTTTTGATGGATTTTTATATTTATGAGTATTTACATCTATCTGATGTGAATATATGAATATGTAAAGTTCATATTCGCGTTGTTCCAGTTATTTTTCAAAATCGTCAATATATTATGTTGTTATTTTTGTTCTATTTCTTCGTCAAAGGATTCTTTGTGATGGAACAAAAACTACTTTTTCTCATTTAAATTAAAAGAGATTTGTATAATCGATTCTAGAAAGGATAAAAGAAAAAATTAAAATCTTTTTTACTATACAAAAATATCAACATTGTTTTAATTTAAAATGAAAATTATCGAAATCGAATATTGTTTAAGCTTGTATTAATTTCTCGAAAAATAATAAAATATATTTGTTCTTCTACACATTCACAAATAATTCTGCAATGTTATAAATATACGTAAAAATTTTATTACTCGAACAAATTCTTCACGTCCCCTCCCCCTCCATGAACCAACACATTCGTAACAAGAGACCCGTTAGATCACGATGACTACGTTTTTATCGGGAGTCCCATTTTCTAAAACTGGAATTTGATGAAAAGTACGGAAGTCGAAAGTCGGAGAATTATAGATTGCGGGAGCACGTGGTATCGTTTAAAGAGAAAAGAGAGAGAGAGAGAAAGAGAAAGAAAAAAAGAGAGAGAGAAAAGACACAGAAGCAGGTTATAACGGTGTATTCGAATGGCCATCCAGTGTCCTACATTCCGCGAACACTATACACGAGAGCACGATCGAATAGATTCGATTTATTTCGATTCAGATTGAATAAAACATTAAACAGAATTTTTACGAATCTCATTCTTTTATTTCACTGCTTTTCTCTCTTTTTTTTTTTTTATTTTATTGCTTTCGATTGTTCTTGGTAAATAAATTAAATAAACACGATAATTAATTAATAGATTAATATTCCAATACACCAGATTAATATTCGAATATTCGAATTCCTTTATTAAAATATAAACAAAGTAAAAAATTATTATTATCAAAATCGTATTATTATTATTATTAAAAAGAAAAGAAGAAGTGGGATTAGAATTTCACTTTAAAATTGAAATTTGTAAGGTTTGCCGCAATTGGGATACACAGAGGTGGAGCCCATCATCCTCGACGAGCTTCATATTGCCCTTGGCGAGGGACCAGATGGATATAGAGCTCAGTTCAAGAACATCACTGCAAGAGGCGTTTCCACGTTACGGGTGACAGGTTTGAGGGCCAGATTATCAGACGACGAGGTTCAATTGCAATTAGCTCTAAGCATTCCGAAAATCAGAGCTGCCGCTAAATACAGGTCGAGTGGCACCTTGCTTTTGGTCAAGGCAAGCGGAGCTGGAGATTATTGGGGCGAATACGGTGAGAGATTATTTTTAACGTAACATCTTTAACGTGATATTTTACTTTTCTTAAATAAATCCTTCAATTTAATTATAATCAATAAAACATTGGTGGAACATTGAAATGGAAAGAGACTTATAAAGAAGAAGAACGTGAAGTACGAATTAAATTGTTAAAAGAGAATAAAATATTAAAATATTTAGAAATGGTGTTCCAATTGGTGTATATAAAGGTATACATATATTAGTAATTTTAAACATGTAAGCGAACAGTGTGATAGAACATCGGGCTAAGTGAAAAGGTAAAAGTCAAGAGCATCGTCAACTTTCACCGCCGACGCAATGCAAATTTGTTTTTCAGCTAACTTTTATGATCGCACCTTTTAAAGATCTCTCTGTTTAACTTAATAATAATATTTAAAGTCGAGAAAATTTATTCAACTCTTTTCTTATTGCGCAATTATCAGAAAAATTCTACAAAAAAAAAATATTTGTTTTATTATGAATAAAAAAGTGAAGTAATACAAAAGTATAACGTTTGAAATTTTTATTCAATACAATAATAAATATATATATATATATATTTTTTTACACATAAAGAAATTCAAAATTATAGCTAGTAGTGTTTTACATCTTGAGAAACACTGTAGATGTACAGTGCGAATGGTATCATTGACCTCTCTAATGCATTCGCCTTGCAGAATGCAACCAGTTCTGCATAACTGCAGAACTTGTCTTGATCTTCGCATGATAGCTTCGAGCAAAGTTTTTATTATCCATAAAGAAACAGTCTATAAAGATTCTCTCGATAAATCAATGCGAAATAAATCAATTCTCATGTATCATATAAATTCTGCTATTAATAAATTAAAATAAATTTTTAATCATAGAATTGCGAGTGTTTGAAACAATTTTATTATTATTATTTTTTTTTTTTTTGGTTATAGAAGGTGTAAAAGCAAAAGTATTTATCAGAGCGAAGCCATTCCTGGTTCAAGATCGTCGTTACTTGAGGTTGCAACAACTTAAGATGGATTTCAGTGTGCAGAATATTAAGATGGGTGTTGAAAATGTTCGCGACAGCAACGCTATAATTTGTAAGTATTTATTCAAAAGTATCAATAATTCGTGTTGTATGAAAAAAAAATTTTTAAGAGGAATAAAGAAAAAAAATTTAATGAAAAAGAATAAATTAAGAAAAATATTTAAACAATAATTTAAATAACAAATTTTTTTCTCGAATAATTTTTCTCTTTAATAATTTCAGTGGCAGCATTGAATCTTTTCATTAACACCAACAGCCAAGAATTGCTGAAAGAGATGAAACCGGATCTAAGAAGGAAATTAGTTCAAGTAATGACGACATTCGTGGAAAGGATCTTTGCTCAGGTACCATACGATGCTTGGATTCTAGATTAATTATGAAAGTTGATACAAGATGACGGTTAACGAGCAAGAATGACCAAATATTTTGTTAATTGTTAAAGAAACAAAATAACTAAAATGTCTCCCATTTTTATTTTGTTAATTTTTTTTTGGAAAAAGATTTTCCACCAAATGCAAAAAGCAAAAAGATTAATTGAGTGCAATGGAAGTTTCAAATTTGATAATGAAATATTTAAATTATAATAATATCTAAACATAGTTTTACCAATTTACCAAAAATCGATGTTAAATTGATTCAATCTTAAAATATTTTATGGTATTATTTATGTTTTCTCTTGGTTTATTCATATATCAAGAATGTAAAACTTTGTAGACATTTTGTATATTTTGTGTGAGATAGTGTGAATGATAATATCGAATCAATATCATCAATAACAATATTCATATTAAGTTATACTGTTCGTGTACTCATCGATTATATGACTAACTGAACAATGAAAACTGGAG